GATTTTCAGTTAGTTTATTAATAATAGGAATATTAGCTTCTGTTTGATTGAAAAATAGCTTATTTTTTTATAACAAAAATATGATTCTTCAAAAGAGAGAAGAAAGAAAATCTAACCAGGCACTCAATCGCCAAAATTCAAAAAGCAGAAAAGAAAAATCTGCTTTGAGTGGAAGTCCGGGAGACTTTAGGCAAATAGTAGGCACGCAATCACGGTTCAATTTTTCATGCTAGAGCGCGACAGCCATGTGGGGAGTTCATATATACGGCCAAAACATAACCGTGAGATTCAACGGCCAACGGCCAAAACCACCATTAACGGCTAACATATGGGCAATTTATGTCCCCCTTTTCAGTTATGTGCGCCAAATATTCTACGGGGAGAATGGCCCATGAAAACGGGGTCTTTGTTTGGACATATTTTCTACTGGTTAGACTTTTTGGCTTGTTTGTCGCAGCGCATGTAAATAATTTGCAATTTTCATTTATTTGTGGAGAAAAAAAAAAAAAATCTTTCAAGGGTATGTCTGCCTGTTAATTTCACTTCGTAAGGCAAGAGAGCATATTATTTTTTAAGGGAATATTATTGAGAAGAAAGAAAACGAAAAATATTTGAACAATGGAAAATTTTCCTCCTCAAAATTACGTATTTGGAATAGCAAATTAACATTCCTGGCTAAAGTCCAAGAAAATGGGTCAAATTTCTCCCTATTGCAAAGAGAGGCATTACGGGTTTGAATACATAAAGGCTAAGCCTTTAGCAATACGTTAAGGTTCTTAATCCAATATTCATATCGTATCTATCTTCTGAATTCTATGCCACAGTTAATTCGAACCGTAGAATTCGGAATTTTTCCATTATTAATTGATATCCATTAAGCTCATAACTAATTGATGAACGTAATTAGTTGATATACATAATTATGTTTTTTTGCGAAAGTAATCTTTTCCATGTTTGTAATTCTCCTGGATCCCTTGCATTTGTCACGTATAAACCAATTCCATCCCTCAAGCTTTCAAGTCATGCAAAAATCTCTTTAAAACTTTGACTAGTTTCTCCAGTCTTTTCAACCCAAAAAAAAAAAAAAAAGAGAGAAAGAAACCTCCATGCATGTCCCTCTCCCTTCAGTTAGCGCCTCTTACATCGGACTCCATAAATTTTTCTTCATGCTGATATTACGATGACGTATTGACGTGGAATTGGCCCTTGATTTTCTGTTGCTTAGTGCTCTCTTTAGCATCAGAGGATCTTATCTATCAGTTACATTTTTCTTAAATCAAGCATTTATTCATGATTCGGATTGTGATCCAGTACTATTTTAAAGTAATTCTGATACATTATTATTTGGCAAGGAGTCAAATTTTTTTAATCCTCTCACCCTTTTTTACGCTCAGTCTCACCTCCAACTATCAGATATAAGATTCCAATCCTCTTAAACCTGACGGCGGAAAAGGCTCTAAGAACAAAGAGTCAAATTAATTTGCCACAACAGTGCCACTCATTAGGAATTAATAGTGCTAATTTTGATGCCCCATAAATAAGTACACGAAGAACGAAGACCATATTCATGGTCAATAACTGCAAATCTTTTAGTCTTTAACAGATTCTACAGTAGTCAAATCTCTAATACTGTATCAGTGTATAGTATATGCTTTGTAGAACATATTGCACATGGCAAAATTCTCATGTTCCACCACAATATGCGGGACTGAAGCTTGGCTTCTTTGGGAGCCTGGCCTCTATAAATAGCAGCGAAATTCTCAAAATCCAATCAAACCAAATCCATCAAACCTAAAGCATAGATAGATATATAGAGCACTGATTTTTTAGCGACCTTCATCCCTTCATCATGGCAACTAATTATCTCCTCTACCTTTCCTCCTACTTAACTCTCTTTTTCCTGGTTACAAACTTCTGCTCTTGCTTCAACCCCAAGCTTCTTAATATATCGAAAATTCAATACCAATCCCAATCTGATTGGTCACCCGCTGGTGCAACCTGGTATGGAAGCCCTACTGGTGCAGGAAGTGATGGTAAGAGAACGAAAACAAAAAATGATATATAACTGTGTCCCCGATTGCCCGATGAGGTACATGTATCTCATCCGGGCAAAATCATCTCAACTTGAACTGTTGTTAACGTATAATTCTCATATTGAGGTTGTAATAAACAACGAGATTACAAGATTCTGTGTTTTTATTGTTTAAGTATTATACGCCTTACACTTATGAATTTACGTACATTAATTAGCTTGAGCTCAAAGAAGAAAACCTGTTTACCAACAATATTCCGACATAAAATCAGAGAATTAATTCCGATAACTCCTTTTTTCAATCAACAATGTAGGTGGGGCTTGTGGATACACCAGTGCGGTTGATCAGCCACCATTCTCTTCTTTAATATCGGCAGGAGGTCCTTCCCTCTATGACTCGGGCAAAGGTTGTGGAGCATGTTATCAGGTGCATGCCACAAGACACACAAGAATATTAAGTTGTTCAGAAAATTCTAAATCCGTATAAAATGTTACATCTTTTTATGCAATTGTGCGTACTTAATTTTGGCTGTCTTATGCGTAGTTTTCTTTTGCTTCGTACTACGTACAAATCTTCAGGTTAAATGCACAGCAGATGTTAATGGAGCATGCTCAGGATCTCCTGTTACTGTGGTTATAACCGATCAATGTCCAGGAGGTCCTTGCGTCTCAGATTCAGTTCACTTCGATTTAAGTGGCACAGCTTTTGGAGCCATGGCCACTTCCGGCGAAGCTGATGAATTGCGCAATGCCGGAGTCTTACAAATACAGTATAAGAGGTTAGAAATCAGATATTCTTCTTTTTCCAGACGAAAGTTTCCGTCATTCTTGACTAATTTTTACTGCTCGAAATTGACTAAGGTCATGCTACAAATACCCTACGACGTACCAAGTCAAAAAAATATGCTCCAATCAGATTGACAATTCGAAGTACAAAGCTAAAAATTCAAACTAAATGGACAGTCAGTCGTATGGCAAAAATTATGGGAGCATGTTTATCACTAAATGAAGGTCGTCGTAATCTGATTAGTGTCATCATAACCTGATTTTCCAAGAGAGATGACACCATGACGTTTGTTATATATAGTATTAACAACAGAACATCATACTCGACATTTTTTCATTAATGCAATTTTCAATTCTGAACAGGGTTCCGTGTAACTATCCTGGAGTATCTGTGGCCTTTCACGTCGATGCTGGCTCCAATCCCGACTATTTTGCCGCATTGGTTGAATTCGAAGATGGGGATGGTGAACTTTCGGGGGTTCAACTCAAACAAGCACTGGATTCGGAATCATGGCTTCCCATGCAGCAATCTTGGGGTGCTGTTTGGAAATTGGACACGGGTTCTACATTGCAAGCTCCATTTTCAATTAAGCTAACAGCAGAATCCGGCGCCGCTCTGGTGGCAAACAATGTCATCCCTGCTGGTTGGCAACCTGGAAGCACTTATAGATCAGTTGTAAATTTCAATGCCTAGGTTTAAGGAATATAAGAACCAGCTCATAGTTTTTATTAGAGCAAAATGGATGATGAGTACATCGTCAAGGAAATAAGGTTCTACTAGTAACTCTATAGATCTGTATTAGTAATAGTTGACACTTGCATCCTTTTTCCTTTTCAGCTGACATAAATGGAAAAACTTCATTATGGAGCAAAGATAAATGTTGCTTTCCTACCTCCTAAAAAAAAACAAAAAGATAAATGTTGCTAATATAGCATAGAAACTAGTACTACTAAATCATTATGGTCGATTCAGTGATTGAGGAGAGGGCTCTTAGAATCCTTCCGGACTGTCCAAAAAATAAATCTAATACTACTAATTTCTGTTGCTTGCATTTATAGAGTGCACGTCAACCACCGTCGAGTTGCATTGATTTCCTTAATTATTTTTCACAAGCATTTAACCTCTCTTCTTTACATGTTTAGACAAAATTACTCCTGTATGATAAAGCTCCAGAAACTGCAGAAAGATTTGTAAGAAATTTCGCCTAATAATCTATGAATATGCGAGATTATGGAATTGTTACGAGTGATATCATTTGGTCGCTTTTTGCACTTCTCCAAATCGATTACTTGTACAAAATTGTGTCCGAAACGTACACAGCCTACACAGAGGGGCAAAGGGTACAATCGTCGATGGACCAAGTTAATCCAAACTCGATTTGTTCGGTCCACTCAACCCATCAAAACTTGGGCCTAAACAGTAGACTTAGGCTTAAATCTAACCACCCGCCCCCACCCAAAAAATTTTTTTTTTTTTTTTGTTTTTTCGATAACCAAACTCCTCTCAAAAGATGGTTGCATCACATTGCCCCTCGTATGTTCAATTGAATCTTATTTGTGATGCATCACGGTCCTAAGGTTTTACCTCTTTTATGCACATAATCTTCATTGATCGAATGAGCCATTTGGGGCTGTGCAAATAAGGAATTTAGGAACTGGATAATTTATTGCAGAAGTTGCGATTCATCTAGTCCCTAAATCTTTCAAACTCAGATTACACGAATCAATTTAGTCCCCTCAAACTACCTTTTGAATTCGAAAATCTCTATCATTAATAGTCAACTGTAAACTTACTTTTCCTTAAAAAAAATTAAGAAAGAAAGAGGTGAAATTTAAAAAGTGAGAAAGGGGAATGGAAATTAGAACTCAAGACTTGGGGTGAGATTTAAGAAATGGAGAGAAGGAATGAAAATTAGGACCTAGAATTTGTGAGTTTTGACATCTTAATTTTAGCCACTTGATTAAAGTCTTCTCGACATACACACACCGTTCTTTTCTTTTTATGCTGTAAATCTATTTGTAGAATCCATGATAGAATAGACATAGTTTAACAATAGCGGAAGTATCTCTTGTTATCATTCTTGTATATATGGTGGTTTTCTATCCTTTAATCATCAGAACAGAAGCAATAAAAGTTGCTCTAGCTTCGTGTCAGTTTTTTACAAAGTAAATTGTTGTTTAGATGGCTCTTAGTATGCTAAGGAGGTCCAGGGGTAATCCAGAAATGGTTGAACCACCATCAGACCAGACGGGTGTATTACAGTACACTCGCCTGAAATTTTTTTGAAACCAAGCCACTTTAAGTGTGCCTCCCACCCCACCCAGCCTTGGTTGCATGAGATTTCTCTTTTGCTAACTTTCATAGGTCTTTTCTCACTGTCTTTTGCTACATTTAGTTCTTCCAGGAGTGTCAAGTCACATAATGCTTCTCAATCTTTAGCTAGTTTTTCACCTGCCGTTGCAACATTTTATGGGGATCCCCATGGAGCAGGCAGCACTGGTTCGTATATGGTGACACAAATGTTATATTCCAGCTCTTCACATTGTATTGTCATTCATGCATATTTTCCTTTCAAGCGAACATTATAATAAAATTAGTTTAGGGTGTGACAAAGAATTTTCCATTACATTTTGTAGAGGCAAGCAACATTTTTATTTTCTTTTTGACAACTCAGATCTAACATTTACAACTAATTAAAGAATGAAACAGTAAAAAATTAAAAAAAAAAATCACAAAGGGCAAAGCTGTTGGTTTTCGGAGCGATTTCTTTTTGTCAAAGACTAAAAAGCGTGAATTAGGTAAAAGTAATTAACATTCAATGTTCTAAACCTTGATGAACCGCCCATCATTTAAGCAGTAATAAGTTTGAAAATTTCAATGGTTAATTCGGTGAGTAGGAGGAGCTTGTGGATATGAAGATGCTGTGGAGAAGCCACCTTTCTTATCACTGGAAATGAAGCTTCATTTAAGCAGGGCAAAGGCTGTGGAAGTTGCTATTTGGTACTAATTAATTATCCATCTATTAATTGTCTTTACTACATCATAGAATCCTGTAGACCTTTACCTCATCGAAAATTCTAATATACCTAAAAAATATCTCCAGTCTCAACCAAAATTGTGACAAGACAAGGCAAGAGATATTCTTAGCCAGTGATAAGACATTTCAAGTTATTTTGCCTCTACTAATAAGTTGAGGATACGCATGCATGGATCCCAATTTTAGGTGTTATGCACAACAGCGTCCAATTCGGCCTGTTCTGGTTCTGCAATAACTGTAGTCATCACTGATCAGTGCGGCGGTTCCTGCGGCGGTGAATGGTGATCCTGTTCATTTTGATCCAAGTGGAACTGCTTTAGGGACTTTGGCAAAGCGTTGCCAAGCAGATCAATTGCTGCGCAGTGCCAGCAGGATCAATATTCTTTATCAAAGGTTAATTAGTGCTTCCTTTTTATGTTAATTGCTCACATCTAACTAATTAATTATTGGTCCAACCTCAGTCAGTCGTATCATTTTCAGCATGTGATTTCAGCAACGGCTTAGTATTGGTATTGAAGGATTACCATAACATCAATATACCTACCGTTTTATATATTGGTTGAAAGTTAGTAGATAAACTATTTTTATGTGTTTAATTAGATTACAGTACAATACAAGTAGCCCTATGGTTTAATTTTATTTTATTTTTGACATAAGATCAAGCCCGTCATTAATTCTAAAAACTTAGAAGGTTGCGATGGACCAAATTAATTCTTTTACGTGGTATTCCATGGCCACAATTAAAACTTTACAAGGGAGAATTTTGCATGCTGTAATCATATTTGAAGTCTCAGGGACTTATACCTTGAGAAAAGTTCGAAAATGATAGAATTCACGAGATGACAGGAATTAAAATCTCAAGAAGACCAAAGTTCTAACAGAATACTATTAGAGATATTTATTAGTGTACAAAAGTAATCGAAATAGAGGTTTATTATTTTTTTAACCCCTTTCAGGAAGAGAAAAAGCTGGCCTATATCATTCAAAGGATCAACGAAAATTTTGGTCCCAAAAATTAAAGATTTTGAGTTAAGTCTCACAATTTTTTGAATTTAGACTAATTTTAAATTACTTCCTAGTATTTCTGAATTAATTATTTTTTATTATTAATCTCATCACCATTTTAGGCTGCTTGAGATCAAATGTTTCTGGAGCAAATTGGCATAATTCTTAATGTTCAAGATAGCACTTCATTGATTGCAATAATATATGTTTGGCCACAATCCAACAGACAAACAGTTCCTTAGACTGACTGATATTCTCAATTCAGCCCTTTGCTTGCCAGCTACAGAATGCTCAAGATTATTCAAAAATTAACAGATGATATGTAACGTGAGCCAGGCTTCCAATTCGCAGGAATCGCATTTGGAGCCACAAGGCTTCGTCTGGATTCAGCTTGTGTCAACCTGATGGAAAACGGCCCATTTGTCCCCGTTGGAATGTTGTACTTGTATGTTGCACCAAACACTTGTTGCATCGGAAACCACTGCCGGGATCCCGCCGGTTGGATCTCCGCAGAAGCAACGTCTCCATCACCATTTACGTACTCAATTGCAGCAGACAAGTAGTATCGATTGGAACCGGGGTCGACTTTGAACGCAATCTTCTGATTACCATAGTTGCATGGCACCCTTTACATTTGCACGAGTTAATCCCGAAACTTACTTCAGTAACAATAATATATTTATAGTACAGAAAAAAAATTGTCTTCTATCTTATCCCTGAAATTTACCTTTGATAATAGACATTGATTCTACCAAGTTTTCGCAAAACATCGGCCTGGCCTGCCTTTGCTAAGTAGCCAAAAGCAGTTGAACTGAAATCAAAATGAACAGGATCATTGTTGCAGGCATTGGGACACTCATCTGTGATTGTTATCGTGACCGGAGAACCAGAGCATGCCCCATAAACGTTTGCACTGCATAGCACCTGAATTTGCATGCACGTGTCATTTGAAAACCAAGAAACCATCCCGGGTATAGTTAGCTAGCTCAAATATCAAGTTGGTATTCTTAAAGAAAGAAAAAATTATAGGCCGCTCTTGATTGCTGCAGATTTTGCACTCTTGATTGCTGCAGATTTTGCAATATTGGATGGGTTTATAGGATCTAACCATTTTGCCAGTCGAAAAATCCAAAATTCAGACACAGAAAAAAAATACAAGGGCATGATACAAGACACTGATTTCTTGAAATTAGGAAAAAAAATTAGGTGAAATAAACGCCGTATCACGATTTAAGCTAAACAGTGACGAGCATTATATAAGTAACTTATGCAAGCCAACAAAAACATGCAGAGTAAGCATCTACCGCATAGCAATTGCCGCAGCCTTTGCCCTGTTTAAATAGGGCTCGGTTTCCAGCAGCTATCTTGCTTGAGAAAGGTGGCTGAGCAATATCATTTTGATTTCCAAATCCACATCCTCCGCCTGTGTGAATCAAAATGAAAATAAATGGATCTCATAGAAATGCATGTTATAGCCTAGTTTGATAATATTTGTGGCACATTAAGAGCAGTACTAAGAATTAATGATTGCAATATCTTAACAGGCTATCTTCGTTTTGTATTTTCTTACAAAGAAGGGAGGATATATTATCTTCTAATAAAATTATTTTGAACAGCAGATTATGACATTCAATAGTTATGTGTGTCCTGTAAAAGTGCATACCACGCCCTTCATAAAATGTTGCCACTGCCGATGAATAAGCAGCTAGGGTTACATTAAGCGACCCAACACTTTCGCAAGAACAAAAACTGGACAAAAATGACATGATAACGAAGAAGTAAGACAGAAAACAATTTTTGAGAGCCATGCGGAATATTTGTTACTGTAAAACGAACAGAATAAGCAAGTATTAATAAATTTTCTCATTGGTACTATGCTGGGGAATCAAGTGCTTATATAGGAATTAATTTAGTCACTCTTGAATTTTTTTTTTTTTTGACTGTAAAAAACATTTCATTCATTCATTCAAATCTCCAATTACAGCTTTACCCAAAGATGGAGGGAAATCATTCCACCGTACAATTCTACCTACTAATCCAAGAGAAAGGTTTGCTAGACTATGAACTGGCACATTTCTAGTTCTACACACGTGGAAAATCTTACAGCATTCAAAGCTATCATATAACATTCGAGCCTTATCCAGCCAGCTCTCCGAATAAGAGAACTCCGCTCTATCACTATTCAATTTTTGAACGACAATGATAGAGTCAATTTCAGGAGTCAACGTCAATTCCAACTTCCTTAGCCCATTCTAAACCCTTAATGACAGCAAGAATTTCAGAAAATTCAGCAGATGAAGTTTTACCGATTCTTTCCTCAAATGCTGCCATGATTTGTCCTTCATCATCTCTGACAATAACACCAATTCCTACTTCCTCTGGAGTCCGTGCTGCATCAACGTTGATCTTCAAAAGGCCTTGCTCTGGAGGATGCCACTGCCCAATCAATTCCTTTGAGCCAGAAAACTTGCTTTCTTCCTGAGCTTTAATGAACTCCATTAAATATGATTTAGCCCACTCAACCACCACTTGAGGTCTCATTACCTATCCTTCAAATAATATTCTGCTATTCCTTGCGTACCATATCATCCACAAGATGGTCACAATCAGCTCTCTCTCTCTCTCTCTCCATTTCTTGACCAGTTTGCAAAATCATCTGCATTAAATCTAAAATTCCCTTATTTCCTTTTACCCCAACCGCCTAAAATAACCTCCATATCAGATACACTTCTGCACACACGCTCAACCAAATCATCTTCATCATTTTTCCAGTGCTGACTAATCAATTGACTAGATTCGTCATCATCACGTAACCATGTAGCTTCAAATCTAAGAAGTCTTCTACGTTTCTGTCTTATCTCCACCTTAGTTGGAACATGGTCTCAGTGAGAGGCCGCCAGATGTTTAGCCACATTTCCTGGAAACAGATTTTGCCACCCGGAGTTTGTTAGAGCACGATCTAATCATAACTACACAGTTGCATCGGCTTCTCTTCTATTGCACCATGGGAATTCGGGTGAACAAACTCAAGAATATAAAACTTTGCCATAGACTAATTTTAAAAGACATAGGTTGTAATACATGAAGATGGGATATACAGACAACTTGATATCATGCGCCTGGTCTTGGTATCTTTTTTTTTCAAAACGATAACAGGATTGTATTAATAGTATAAACTTTATAATTGCAAGCAAAGCTCGACAGATCTATACAAAGAGTGTACCCTGACACTGAGGATTTATGCATTCCTTATCTTGAATTATACCTAAGGCATAGGAGCTAATGATTCGACTGTGTACATGATTAATATCTATACCAACCGGCCAAAAGGAGCACATATGAAACAGTTTTCTCAAGTCCTGTATATCTTCCATTAAGGCAGACAGCCTGATGTCCTCATCTTGTTCACTTGTGAGCTGTCGTATGAGCTGTTTGCTCTCAACTTGGGCCTCAGTTTTTCTCCATTGCTTCATTGCAGCTTTGCTGAGAGTGAGCTTGACCGCTACTGCTTCATCTAATGTTGCCATCCCTGTACTTCTCTCCTTCAGGGCCCAAGCTTCCAAGACATTGTTCTTGCCATCAGTTGCTACCACTCCTATCCCAAGATTGTGGCTTTCCACTTGTGTTTTAATTTGCACTCTTAGCTGTACCATTTCATCTCCATTCTGTTCTTGCTGAGGTAAGGTTTTAGAGGCCACTGTTTCTGCTGTGCTCAACCCATTGTTTCTGCTCAATGCTTCATCAAATTCCTTCCATTCTCCCAGTGCCTTTTGTATGATCTTTAAAGATATCTGGCACTTGTCATTGAACTGTCTTTCATTTCGGTTTTTCCAAATTTGCCATGGGATGTTAGCATTTAGTGCAATGTGGTCATTTCCTGACCGCCTGTACCTTGCTTCTGTAATTGTACTCCACCAATTCTGGAAATATCCTTGCTGGTCCTGCTCCCCATCCCACTGACATGGGGCTATGTGCAAAACTTCCTTAGCCTTGGTGCATTCCAACAGCATATGCTCCACAGTTTCCACCTTCTCACCACAGTACCACACCCCTTGCACAAAGGATCCCCCATTTTAGTTCCCTCGAAGATCGCTTCTTTGACTGGAAGAGCATTGTAAATGTTTCAATTTGTGCTTGATTGTCAGCTTCCATAGGTGCCTCCACATCTGGCGACTATTGCTTTCCCAACTAGTACCAACTCCCTGTGCCTGCTTCTCCTGTTGCAATGCATTGTTCTCTATCTGTGTTTTGTAGCCCGAGTTGACAGTATACTCCCCATTAGCCGCATGCAACCAGTAATGCCTATCCTCTCTCCCCGATAAGCTTAGAAGAATCTTCAGTATTCGCTCTGCATCTTCTTTATTGAAGTGACGAAATATTAACTTCCTGTTCCAGTGTTGTTAACATATTAGATCC